GGCCTAACCAGGGACCTGTACAATGAAAGAATAACATCTTTAGATTTTTATTCAATATTTCTATTGATACAACCTAGAATCTTATTTGCTCTACCACTAACAACAGCACACTGCTTGGATAGCTTTAGAGACTGATCGACTATTACACCAAGATCCCTTTCTTTCATGACTCTTTTAAGGTTATTCCAATCCAAATTATACTTATGATTCAAATTATGATAACCCATATGCATTATCTTGCATTTATTATAATTAAAACCCATCTGCCATTTATTGTCCAACTCGAAATCCTTTTGTAAATCAGCTACATCCTCTTCACAGCTAGCAACACCCAAGACCTTAATATCATCTGCAAATTTAACTAATTTATTGACTATCTCTTCATCTATGTCATTGATGCAAATCCAAAGGTTCTAAGAATGAGCCCTGAGGTACCCCACTTGTGATATTCATCCAGTTTGACTGAACTCCATTTTTAACAACCCTCTGCTTTCTTCCATATAGCCACTCTTCTATCCAATTTGCTAACTTATCCCCCACACCTATAGAGCCCTTTTTTTTTTTTTTTTTTTACTAAGCCTTTTATGTGGCACCTTGTCAAATGCTTTCTGAAAATCCAGGTACACCAAATCTACACCCTTACCCTCATCTACATAAGCAGAAACCTTTTCAAAGAATCTCAAAAGATTTGTAAGGCAAGATTTTCCCTTAGTGAAACCATGTTGACTATCCAATAAAATTCTAAACTTTGCAAAGCTTCTTTTAACAGACTTTCCAAAACTTTTTCCCACAACTGATGTAAGACTAATAGGTTTATAATTACTGGGACAATTTTTATCACCTCATTTGAAAAGAGGAGTTACATTAGCTAACTTCCAATTCTCTGGTACCTGCCCACTATTCAAGGACTGACAAAAAATAGAAGCAAGTGGCTTACATTTCCAATCTTTAACCTCCTTCAAAACCCTTGGGGAAATATTATCTGGCCCAAGAGCCTTATCATTTTTTAAACTTCCCAATTTTTTCTTAAACAGCTCAAAATTAATGCAGTCATCTTGTTTGATCTTGTTTCCATTTATCAACTGATCAAGATGTGTAATACTGATTAAATCTTCATTAGTAAAACTGAAGAAAAGTAAAATTTAATAACCCAG